TAGAATTTCAGAATAAGTTTACTTCCGAGTGCACCAATTTACAGATTTGGCACTTTCGTTCAGTATAGACATTTCCAAAAGGTTATGGTGAACTTAACCGGGAAAGTGTACTTCATGTGGGGATTGGTCGAAGTGAATCAACTATCATAACATCAGTTACTGCCATATTTTTGAAAATGTCTGGGGCTACAGATTGAATCCACGTTCATAACCGCCAACACAAAGAGAAGAGAATGAACAAGATAGTGAAAATTCACTGGCTAGACATGAAGTCTGGCAGGTTCCGGATTTTCAGCATCATGCGCTCTTCTGACGATGTTTGTTGCAATTTAGGTTGGTTAGGGCAACATTCAGAAAGTAAAGGAATATTTATACTTTTGGCATCACGGTCTCCCTGTTCAAGGAGCGTGGCCTTCCCGCTTTTCGGAGACTTCCAGATCGCTTTTTGCCTGCAAAACCGGTTATGTTTAATCCTCTTAGATTGATTTTATTTGAGCTTTAGCCTCATATGTTAGACCTGTCTTTTCTAGAATAACTTCTGCCTCATATCATAGATTTCACTGTCAATACGAAGTGCGTGTTTTTTCTGATTATCTGTTTCGTCCTTAGACGAGGAGTATATCTTATGAAAAGTACTTATATCGCCTCCTATGTTGGACACGAGAACACGAACCGCCAGCAACTCTGGTGGCCTTACGCCAAATTTCGGGGAAATCAGGGTTAGTTTTGAGGTTAAGAGTAGAGTAAGGGGTTAGGGTTATAGGTAGGGCTAAGATGAATTTGGAGTTCAGGATAAACTTTTAGTCCCGATAGGGGCTCTAGTTAACACACATTTACTCTTCTTTGAATTATCTACAGATCACCTTTCTTATCTAGACGGGAGGTTGTTATTCCCGTGTCCTGTCTAAGTGGGCATTCAAGTAATCCTTCCTGAATATTCCACTTACAATTTTTAAAAATGTACAACCTTTACCCATAAGTTTATGCGAACATTACGCATTATACTTTCTATTGCCAAAAGCTGCAGCTTTCGGTAGAGCCTGTCCTACACACCGAACTTAAACAGCTACTTTTCGTTGTCGAGAAGGGAGGGGAAAAGTGATGTGGCTCTGGAATTGCCTGAAAGGTTATAATAAATCCAACGGGAGCAGTCAAGATGGAAATGTTGGACCAAAAAAACAACGTTTGGTTTGCCAATGGACGTAAATATGCGAGTTCTGAACCTTTGGTTTGGTGGGCTACTTAGACGACAAAGGCTCCCAGACCCTCCGGGCAAAAAAACCAGACGCAAGGGCGGGGAGGGGTATAGAGAGAGAGACGGATCTCTCTTGAATTACAGCTCATACGCACTTGTACTGCCAGACTCCCGTTATGATAAGTGTGTCTGACTTTGTAGCGAAGAGGCCACTTCAGCGCCCTCCCTCGACGCACACAACGGAACCAGCTGCATCAACCCTGTCCCGATAAATCAGGCTGGTGCCTTCCTCCCCTAGACTAGGGGGTCATGCGCAGTTTTGCAAACATGCCGTCTGGGGGTTGGGAGATTAGGAGGGGGGAGGAGGATATTAACTCTCTCTCTCGGTAGGGGAAACAGCGACGGGGGCAGTAGCAACAACAACTGACAGAAAAAATGCGTGAGAAATAGACCTTCAGAATGTTCATGGGGAGGAAAACTCATTAGCGGTCATTTCTGGACCGACAGAATTTATGGTGGTCCTGGCTGCCGACTGCAGGGGAGGATTCATTGACATGGGAAGTTCACCTTAGTCGGGATAGGCGCCCAAACCGTCTTGCCATCTAGCGTGGGTGAGTTTGACGTCAGTATGTACATGACTCAACTGACGAAATGTTAGCTGAATTTCCAGAATATGGTCTGGGTTAGAAAGGATTAATCAAACAACGATGCTATACCACCTGTAGACCACGTAGTCCAAAAGTATTGAAAGTACGTTAGAATGCTGACTTCCTAATGAACATATTCACAACCCTCTGCCAAATTCAAACTAGATCCACTTATCACTTAAACAGAATGCAACCCCACCGACTAACGATTTCTTTTAAATGAGCTCATATATTACAAAAAAATACACGGCAGCAGCTCACTTCTTGCCGGCTTTAATGGGCATTGTATACTTTAAAGGAAGGTGTTGCTCAACTTTAAAATAATGTGTTAATTCCAATATTGTTTCAATCCGGTATATCGTTCGAATTAAAGTTCGGTTTTCCAAATAACCTGCCTTCCTTAAGACCTTTAGAAAAGAAGCATCCAATGCCCATACGCTTTTATCCCAGATCAGTATCACAGGGCATACGGAGATGTGGTGAAGCTGGAACAATCACCCATCTTTTTCAAGGTACTTCAAAGGAAAAACCTTTTTACTTCAAAATTTAGTTGGGCTCGGCTACAGCACATTTCCAGTTTCGGCATTCAGTTTTCAACATGATCCAGCCAGTATGTCCGACGATGCCTAATGAGAATTCCGATAGCCTTGTTAAGACTGTTCTACATAAACTACATGCGTTTTCATCAACTAAATGAGACTAGAGCGAAGACCGAAAATTGACTCACCCGAAACAAAGACCTGAATTTCGAAAGGCGAAAATCACCAATATCGCAAAATGTTGCTTACCCATACTCGCCTGAACCTGCCCGAACACACCAGTCTTCAGGTGTCATCCCAGCAAGCCTTATGATTGCTGATTGCCACAGTTAGTCTGCGGAAAAAGTAAACGGTCAGGTAAACGATAACAGCATACTGAACGGCCTGTCTTGTTACATAACGAAATGAATAATCGCAGTTAGTGTTGAATTCAATTGGTTAAATGGGTGGCTTCTGAACAAAAGGTTTTAGTCTGAGTCAGAAAATTATCCTCCACAAACTGGTCTCGTTCAATCCATTCCTCCTCCAAAGTTGTGGCGCAAATGTATGTACACCACAAGGGGATACAATTGCGGCCTATTTCACAGTTTACACCTGAATATTCAAACCACTTATTTTTAAGCTGTACGTTCATGAGCAAAGTAACTGAGTTCACTTAAATAATTTCCCTGGATCTTTTTAGACAAGGCAATGATACTTATATCATTTTTTTTCATTCCACCCACTGATATTAAAATGCTCCAGGGCAATGCCAGTGTGGCATTCGTTTCGTGTTTTCGGAACAAGCGTCGGGCAGCCTGGTCTGCCGGGCCTATCTACCTACAGATGTTTCCCTCCCACATGGCCAATCATTGAACAGAACTTTGATTAATGAAAGTAATCACGATGGCTGGTCAAAAGCAGCATTCATATTGCACTTGGCAGAGACCTAGTCATAGTTCCACGTTGGTATAATCGTGAACCGATCCTTTATCCATCAGTCTTTTGGCCCAGGTTCTAGTCTGCACACAGAATGAAGTTGAAACCAGGCATTTGATGGGCCCTTGGCGAACGAATCCCTGTCCGGATGCTAAAAAAGAACGCTCACCCTGACTCCTGATAATTATTTGCAGCAAGCATGCTGTTTTTTGTGGGTAGATTACCACATCATTGAAAATCAGCTCCAGATTTCATTATTAGTACACTTGCGGGGATCGTAGCTAAGTCAAGAATCCAAAAAGCGGGATTTCTTGGTGTCATAACTTGTTCATACGTGCAACTCTAGGAGTTTTCCAAAGA